TTATTCGTACCAAAGACTTTCGGGAAGTATTTGGCTATGACTGACCTTTGTACATCTTTATCATAGTTCCCACTGGCCTGTGGGATACTCAAATATGTTTAGATGTCCTGTCTATCTGCTCTTCTGCATTCTAGTAGCTTCGTCCCTTCAGTCCAGATCACCTCCACTTTCTTTGCAACCATTCAGCCACACATATCCTGTCCAAATGACATCCTGATGTCCTTGCTGTAGATCCTTGTGAGCTGAGTCAATATCTCACTTCTGGAATGCAGCTTGATGTCATCCATGTGCAGGATGTGGCTGATGGTGACTCCACTCCTAATCCACTCTTAGCGATGACCTGACTTACAGGGTTAACGTCTATGCAGAACAGCAATGGGGGCAGTGCATCACCTTGGTATATTCAACTCTTGAGTACAAGACAACAACTGTGTTTTATTTCACAGTTCCTGTTGAATGGATTGAAGCACTCTAATATACATGTGTGGGACATTGAATCATAGGCTTTCTTGTAGCAAATCCAGGCAGTGCTCTGGTTAGTTTGTCTGGTTGGACCTGGAGGGAGGTTGCTGTGGTCTGCTTGAACATCTGCTTTATTCCAGATGTTCAACCAATATTGCTCAGTTTCAGCTCTGCCCTTGTATTAGTGTTCCCTTGTAGTTGAGAGTGCTTTTTGGAGGACAGGTCATTTATTCTGTTGACCTCAGCTTCTCTGGCATATCTCTTCAGCCTTGTGCCCAAAGCTGTGAGCCTTGCTTTGGCAGTTTCTTGAGTCTGAGTTTTGGACATATTGTACCTCTTTTTCATCCTGGACCAATCTCTGGGCTTCCCTGACTTTAGCTTCCAGCGTTCTGATTTAGCACCTTTCTACTCAATTTGAGCTTTTCACTCTTCAAGTCTTCTTCACACTGATGGATGCATCAGGTTCAACTTAGGGTTCGGTATCTTGCCCAGGGACTTAGCAAATAGACAAGTAAAGAAACAGTGCTGTGTCATGGCTTTGTAACAGTATTTGTGGCAGATTTGAGGACTAGAGTGTCTGTTCACCCTAAAGAAATTATGATTCATATTTCCCTGCTCATTACTGGTAAGTATAACTGTATCATACTGTGCAGTGTCTCTCTGCTATGACTGACTTGTCTCCTTTCACAAGTCTATGCTTTTTCACAGCCATTTCTTGTTCATCCTGCTCTGCAAAACAGGATCATGTTTTACGGTTCACTAGCATGAAATACTGTTAAGTACAGTGAAGTGTGAATAGCTCAGAAGGCAAAGTTGAATTCTGCAAATTCAGCATTTCACATGTGAACCTTTCAGATTTCCTATGGGGTCTAATTAGTTTCTGTAACTGGGAGTATTATGGTGCTTTTTATGGTTGTGTGCAAAACAACCCCCCCCTCAAAAAAAACCCCAAAAAAAACTGTCCAAAGTTTTAGTAAGATTTTTTTTTTTTTTTTTAAACTGGTGATTATAAAAATACGGGACCCTATGAAAGAGGATAAATGTGACCTAAAACGTATTTAAGTTTTGTGGAGAGTGTAAAAAAAAACAAAAAACTAAAATGCAGCAAAATGTGTGTGCTGCTTTTCCTCTTTCTGCGATATTGTTTTGAAGATTTTCAAGAATTGTGGCTGGTTAAATTTTCTATTGTCTGCCAACATCATTTTAAACTGCATTCTTTCCGCACAGATTGTTTTTCTATCTGCTGTAATTTATATTTGGTGGTATGGCTCTGTTCTGGGACCTCCAAGTATCAGTGACACCAAACATGGAACTGATAATGGCAGAAACAGTGGGGAAACTGGAGGACAGTATAGTCTCAGTTTATCGGCTGTTTACAGGTAGCTTTCTATAAGGCTTTGTTGTTGAATGTAACAGTAAAATGACCTGTGGCTCAGAGGTGACAATGTGGATCTGAAGCTGCAAAATAAACCTTGTCCTTTGTGGCAACAGATACAAGAACACTGGGAATGAGGACAGCAGTAGAATGTGAATCATACCTACACTCTCCGTTGTTTTCCCTGCACACTAACTCAAATATCCTTTAATGCTTTGGTTGTGGAAGATGACCTACTACTACCCTGCTGTTATGGTACATAAATCACTTGTCAGTTACTTCCATTGTGTGATTAAATGCTTTGATATCATACAAATGGGATAATTACATGCTCAACTAATCATATTGATGGTTGGTTGGTTGGTTATTTTTTCACAGATCTTTTTTGAGTGATATCACATAGCTCCAATTTATAAAAAGCAGTCACAGGAACAACAGGGTTTTAAGGGTTAAATGATTTCCTTTTGTTTGTTGTAAGATGTTTCTTGATAACTCACACATGTTGATATGTTACAGTTGAGTGTTCCAGTGACTAAGAAACTCTTGAAGTGGGAACAGGAAATGATTGTTCTTGCAAAAGTAACAATGGGTAGTAGTGACAGTACTTACAAAAGAATCTGAGTGAAATTACTGCAACTCTTGCCCGTAAAATTTGCTGTACCTTGGAGGCTACTCAGAGGAAGAAAGGGGCAGCAGCAATTTAGCTCAAGAGCAGCCACCATGACAACAGATAAATACAGAAATCTCATGAAAGTGTGGATTGTTTGAAGCATCTCTCTGTTTTACCAAGAACACAGTGTTGTTAAGAGACTATAAATAAGTCACCGTGGTACTGTTTAACTTGCATGTTCAAGCTCATGTTCTGTTTTACTAATTTAATGTGTTCCTTTGTTATTTGGTGGCATTTTGAGGTTGCTGCGTTCTACATCACCTGGAATTAAGACAAAAGCCGTCATCGCCTGGTGGGAGGGAAAATCCTGAAATTATATTGTTGAACTTTACTGTTACCACACACTTTAGAAATAGGTAGTTATGCATTATACTGCTAATGAAATACAATGATGAAATAACGAAATACAAAAATGCAGCTGTAACAAAGTTACATACTTTACAAAAACGCATAAACTGCCTTTATCTTTCCAAATAAAAGAATTGTGTTTAGCTTGCAAAACGCAAGATGACAGTCACTTTTTTCTGCAGAAAGCAGTCACAGAATGCATAATTGTGACCACGCAGGCATTTCGTCCAGAACAATTTACTGTATATGACATGTTTAGCATACTTCTAAATGAGGTGACCAATGTTTTAGACATTAATCTGAATTGTTATTGTTAAACTGATGCAATGAAAATAGGATAAGACGTGTCTACGTAATACATGAGTCTAATTCTGAATCTTGGTGCCATAACAGACACTTTTCAGTTTGTCATTTATAAAGAACCATCATTAATGTCCTGAAATTTGGTGGCTCTGAATTTGATTTTTCTCATGCACATTAGAGTATTGAGATTACCCAGCTTTCTGCTTTTTCCTGGTAATGGCACCTGACATGAATACAACCATTAAACTGACATTAGCATGAGACTGTTTCTATGTCAGATCTTGAGTCATTGATTCCACTGAGAATCTGATTGTGCTAGAATGAATTTTCCTCCTTTTTTTAGCATCCAGTTTTATATCAAATTACCTTCTCATTTTCCCTCACTCATACAAGTTTTTGGTTGCACTGCACTGATTAGTTGCTAGAAGTTAAGGCAGTGTTTTTGCTGATGTTTTACCTTGTTGTAGTCAAAGTCCTATATATCCTATGTTCTATACCATTCTATAACCTATAACCAATTCTACTGAATAAATTCTGATTCTTCATAACTTGTTTCTAAGGAAACAAGTCACATTTAATTAGGTAGTGACCATGCCTAGGACATATTTGATCACAATATAGAATTAATTGATAATTAGAAAACTACTGTTTTAAGAATAGTGAAAATGAACAAAACGCAAGCTTGATTTAAAAAAAAAAAACGAGTGGAGGTTTTTCTCTGTGGGTTTATCAGGTTTCACATTTTGTCATTGTTCTAATGTTGTCATATGAAAATATCACTGAAGCTGATTAATAGGTTGGATTTACATCCAAGCTCTAAGCAGTTTATATATATATATAAGTGGACTAGAAGTGTATTATGCTTACAAACAATTATTTTGTATGATGTATTGATCTATCAAAAGGGGACAGTGTTGTTCCAAGGAGGTACATCTTAAGGAGATTTGTAGGTTAAATGACAATAAAAATCTTTGGTTTTGCAATTTCTTGGAGGTCATTTAGAGTGTTGCTGTAAATAAGAAACACGACAATTTTTTTTCTGTAATGAGAGAAAGAAAATCATCTTGTAAGAGACACTGAAACCATGATACTTTCACGCCATCACACAGCTGGCCAATCACTGGGTAAAGGGGAGTTAATGTAATATTGCCTGTTTTAAAAGGAAATGACAAGACACAGCCCTCATTTTCTATCCCCAGCTGCAATTATCACTCACAGAGTGTCTTTAGTCATCAAGGCTCAATAGATGGGCATTGAACAGATCTCAGTTGTATAGAACAGTCAGCCTTTTTAGTAATGGCTTTTTGTGTTTGATTATGTAAGATCCTTTAATATATATATAGGCAGCTATTTCAGAAACTGATTGCCTACAAGTATTAAAGGTGCCAGATTTAAACTACTTCTTTTCTGTGGCAAACAGGCCTGGATAACCTACTGATTTTAATGACCTGAAAGCTTGTTTCTAATGGGACAACTGGATTTAGTATTGATTATATTTTCAGCACATCTGGTGGTATAGCTTTGTGATTGCCATTGTCGCTCACTGCAGATTGAACTAGCCAGCCACATTAATTTCTGTTGGAAAATTAGAGATTCCTATTCACTTATCCACACCCATTACGTTTAGCCTAAATTAGAAGAGTTTGATTGCATTCTCCCTGATGACAAATAAATTTAACAGTGCATGCTACTTACACACACACACACACACACACACACACACACACACACACACACACACACACACAATGTATTCACAGCAGAACCAGTCAATAAACTTGGTCATTGATCAAGAGCTGTACATTGACAGAGTGCCCCCTCTGCCAATAAATGTTGACTCACTTGTACATTTTTTGATACCAGATCCTTTCTTCATAGCATGACGACTGAGCTTGCATTGGAAGTTATTCTCCCAAAACTCTGCAAACCAGATATTTCTTCTGTTATTCTCTAGCGTTCGGCTGATGAAGTAGCGATCGAAACCTGAAATCAAATCCAACAGCAACAGCGCAAATTCAGTTAATGGTAATCCAAAATTTTTCAAAAGTGAACATTAAGAGTTAACCTTTTACTGAGGTGACAAAGGCAATTATCAACACTGTAAAGCCCTGATTTTAAAAATTGTTTTTGTCAAATCTGGTATCTTCAAGGTAGAATGGAGATTACTAAAGGAGGCAAACATATACCAACAATATGCAGTAAAGTGCAAGTATTAATACAGAATTTACTTCAAACTAAGATTTTCTTCAAAGAAAACTAAATATTTTGAGCATTGAGGTAGAGTTTGGCAGTGCAAATACCTTTGATGGACTGTCGTTTGGGTAGAATGGTGACAGCACCCTCTGCCATCTCTTCTTGGTGCAGTATTGGTGAAATTTTGGATCCCCAGCTGTCTGAACCTACCCAGATGAAATGGCCTGTCTGATTGGCCTTCTTAGCTGCTTGAAGGAGACGCCTTTGAAACAAACAAAAAAATAAAGTAATGTTTACTTGTTCCATAGAAATAATGCTGTTCTCTGATATATTTCCTACACATATGTTCATACTGTGTTTAATCAGGCTGTTTCATGACTAGAGTATTCTAAGACAAAGTTTTATACTCAGGCAGTTTAGCAAAATTGAAAAGCCATCATAGAATCACTATTCCTTCCCAGTGCAGTGGAATTCTTCTTGGCTGTGGCAGAATGATACCCCTGCCACATTTGTCCAGGCTTGTTGCCAATGGATGTAAGTTTGGGGAGTCATAAAAAACTGCCAATAAGCTCTGCTGCAGCAGCAGAGTTGCATCGAGAAAGCATAGTGACATAAAATTTAAGCACAGCCACCTGGCATGTGGAAAAACTACCAACTCTTACACCAGCCCTTATATAGCACAAAAAGTGTCCACCAGCTTACTCAGATTTTCACAGTGCATGTTGTTTTCGCATGAATTCGAGTTGAAGTAAAACTAGGGTATAATGTTAGCATTTTTTTACCTTTGTAAAAAAAATGACTTGGCAAGCAGTGACTCATCCAGCTAACTTTGTTTCTTTACTTTAGTTTTATGACTGCAAGGTTTTATATTTGACTGGTAATGATTTTTTCTGAGTCTGGTCTCCCAACATTTAGTGAAATGAGCATGTCTTAAAATGCAATTATGCCCATCATGTAGAAAAAAAGAGAAATTGATTTTTTTTTCACTGTCAGGAGATTACAGTAATGGTGATATGAATACACAGACTGAGAAGTATAATATAAAATAATGCAGTATGAAGTAAAGAGGCACTGATTCGCGATCATGAATGAGCACCTACACTTCCTATTAATTTTCACAGTCCAGGTTCAGTTCTAAACTCAATTTAAATGGTATTTACAAGGTCTAAAATCTGAATTATGTTGAAGTAAAAATCTTTATATAGCTAGTTTGCCAACAAATCTGATATTTTGGTTGTTTTTTCTTTGTTACTTGCATTTCTTGCTTTTTGATCACTTGGTCACATTTTACATTAAACACTGCCGTTTAATTTAGTGCTGATGTAAACATATTTATTATAGAAGCACTGCAATTTTATTTACCTGTGGTAAAGTCAAACATAAATTTCAGGTGTTGAAAATGACAAAATGATGCACAAACTAACCAATTAATAAAATTCAATGTTACATTTTTACATCCCATCCATCCATTCGCTTCCGCTTATCCTTTTCAGGGTCGCGGGGGGGGCGCTAGTGCCTATCCCAGCTGTCATAGGGCGAAAGGCGGGGTACACCCTGGACAGGTCGCTAGTCTGTCGCAGGGCTAACACAGTGACAATTAATTTTATTAGTTTTATATGTATGTATTTACTACATAGGTCATGTTATTTCCACACAGAGTAATCTCTATATTGTGCAAGCATACCTACCTATCTAGACTGTGAAAGGCTACCCAGCAAATATTATTTCTTATACTTCTATGACCTTGAAATAGCAGTGTAATATAATTATTGTATCATATTAAAGGGCTTCATCAAAACCGCACAGTCTCCTATACCTTCTTTGTAGGCAATTTTGGGTTCCTATTAGTCTTCTGAAGGCTCACACTGCCTGAGTTCAAGGATAGAGAAGGCATGCCGTACTGTGATCCCTCTGGCTTTCTGTAATTACTATATATCCAGACTATTACCCGTTATCAGGACCGGATTAAGTCAATGAGCACTGGGACGTCTGCCCCGGTCATTATCAAGAGACTGCCCCAAATCACTGCCCTTTTCCACTGTGAATACACTGGCCTACTGAATGGTTGCAGGGAAACATTTCCCCTTACAAAGCCACAAGTTTTTTTCTTTCCTAATTCAATCTACAGCAATTTATTTAATTTAATTCATCTTGATAGTAGATAATACATTGTAATTGATACATTTGTTTCCCTGCAAATAAAAGCGGGGACACTTTTAACATTACTGTTGTATACTGTAATAGTTGGGGACAGCAGAACAGATGCCAAATTGGATTAAAGTGCTTTACCAGGATAGAAGGGATATGGGTGAATGGACGAAATATTCAAAATTATTTTGAAAATATTATCATAAAATGAAGCAAAGTAGTCAATCCCTCCCTGACACACTAAGTATATAAGTACTTGTGATACAGAATCACCATTCATTGCTGCATTAACAAACCTGACTGGTTTTGTTGGGTATGCTGTATGTTGTTATACCCTTTATATAGAAACTCTGGGCTTGCAAAGTAACCTGTACCTGAAAGGGATAAATAAACGTAGCTGGATAAAAAACATTTTGCTGTGAAAGGTTTATATCTTTTTTTAGTAAACATATATAATATTTAGATGTACAGACTTATTCTTGATTAAAACTTTGGTGATTCAATACATTTTTACAGTTTACAATTTTACAATTTTCTCCTTCTATGTTTTTTTTCAGTCAAAACAATTCTCTGAAAAAAAGTGTTACTTTACCGAGCCATTTGTTCAAATACGATTTAATTAAAAATGAATTTCACTTTATCTAACATTTTACATGTTACGGCTTGCTCTATAATTACATCTCCAACATGGTTTTTGATGTTGGTGTTAGTACCCACCGTGTGCAGCTTTTTTGTGTATCTCAAACAGCGCTGTGTGAGCTCAGTACATCATGTACGAGTTGGAGCTAATAAATGTTGAACACCAATTACTTTAAATTAAACTATTACAACACAATAAAGAGTGAGGATTGACTGAGTTTATACATAGATTGGCAGAGAGTTGAAAATGAGGAAACAGCAGAGGCTACTCTAAGCAATTATCGGCTACTGCATTAGCATTTTACAGCCGCCAGATACAATTACAGCCCTTTGCATGTTACATTTGTAATATCTTGTTTATATTTAATCACGAGCTTACACAGCATTTTGCTGCTGAGTGGAACAGTTAAGTTGATGTGGTCTGAATGGAGGCAATGCAGTAGTAATGTTTCTGGCCAGGTGCATGCTAGCTACGGCGGATCAATAGTCAATTGAATATACACTCAGCTGAATGGGCTGTAACTGGTCATGGCTGATCAGCTAAAAAACATCTGATTCTGGTAACTAGCAAGTTATTTCATGTATTTCTATTTTAAAATCAGCCATCAGCCATTATATTTTACCAAAATTCTCGAATAAATGTAGATACTCATAATTTGATTTGGTTTTAACTATTTCATTTGTCTTTTGTAGCTATGACAGCATTGGTATAAGACAAAGGGTACTGAGGGACCTCTGATGTTGCACTCAACACCTCTCTGATCCTGTCCTCTATTTCACTTCCTGTGCATTTGAAAATCAGTAATGCATGTCATTAACTTCTCTTAGCTATTCCATTCTGACCAGACACAGAGGAAGTTTGTGCTCCCTCACCCACAGTCTGTGAGATTTTTCCTGCTAAAAGTGTGTGTGTGTGGGGTTTCCATTCCTCACTATCGCCAAATGTTTTCTAATAGGCTCTCAGTCTGGTGAGCTATACTTTATATTTATATTTTGTTGAACTGAGCATATTCAAGTATAACCAGATTTCAGATTTGTAACTCATAAATATCAACATCTGAGTAGGACATTATATTTAGAAAGGTAATATATTCAATAAATTCTAATACAGTCTGCAGTATTTAACACAGTGGTTCCCAAACTTTTTTTGCTGGGCCGCCTTTGTTTCACCAGAAAAATCCCCCCCAGCACAAACCCTCCAACCACACACACCCATATTTTGTTTTCAAACTCCATTGCGGTTTATTTCACAACCCAAACATTTAGTAAACAATTAAACAAATAAAAGTAAACTGCAATAAATTACAGGTAGCAATATAATAAACTACTAACTCTTTTACGCTACGTCCACACCTAAACAGGTATTTTTGAAAGTGCAGCTGTTTTTATGCGTTTGGGCCTGTCGTCCACACGTAAATGACATTTCGAATCAATTTCGAATCAAATTGAGATATTTTTAAAACTCAGGTTTTGCGTTTACGTGTGGACGAGGAATACAGAGTTTGTCACGCAACGTCAAAGGTATGTGCCTTTTTTCATGCGCCACCTTATTGTTTACATGAGATGAATTGCAGAATGGCAGATAGACAAAATACTGTTAACTTTTTTTTCTTTTTTTTTTTTTTTTCTTAAATGACATCAGAAACAGCAGTATGCGA